CACTGTGAAAACTGATGAAAAGTACCCATTCAGTTCTTCTGCCATTTCTGTGTTCCCTATTTCTACTTCTCCACCTTCATTTTCCAGCAGTCCAATGTCTACCCTTAACTCTCTATTACTTTTTAGATATCTTTAAAAAAAACTCTTACAGTATTCTTTTATATTCTCGCGAGCTTATTTTCATATTTCATCTTCTCCCCCTTTATTGCTTTAAGTTCTCTTGTGCTGGTTTTTAAAGGCTTCACACTAATCATCACCACATCTTATGCTTTTCCTTTTGCTTTCATACCGTCCCTGGTCAGCCATGAATTCCTCATCCTCCCCTTAGTATGTTTCTTCTTTCTTGGGATTAATTTATTCTGTGCCTCCTGAATTTCCCTCCATAAACTCCTGCCATTGCTGCTCCACTGTTGTCCCTGCTAGGCTCCCCTCTCAAATCAATTCTGGCCACCTTCGCCCTCATGTCTTTGTAGTTACCTGTACTCAGTCGTAATACCATTACATCTGATTCCCACTCCTCCCGCTTAAACTGCAGGTGAATTCAATCATATTATGGTCAGTGACCCCACCCCCACAGCCCCCAACACCCAGGGGTTCCTTTACCTTAGACTCACTAATCAAGTCTGCCTTGTTACACATCACCAAATTCAGAACTGCCTGTCCCCTAGTGGGCTCTACCACAAGCTGCTCCAAAAAACTCTCGTAGACAATCCATGATTCCTTTTCTTGAAATCCGCTAGCAACCTGATTTTCCCAGAACACCTGCACATTGATTACTATGAATCATCGGGGACTTTAATGATAATGTAATAGTGCCTTTCTTACATGCTATTTCAATCTCCTGATTTATTTTCTTCCCCACATCCTCACTACTGCTAGGAGGCCTGTACTCAACTTCCATCAGGGTGTTTTCTCCTTTATGTTTCCTCAGTTCTAGCCACACAAATTCTATGCCTTCTGACTCTATACATTTCCTGTTATTGATTTCATTTAACTTCTTAGTAAAAATGCAACCCCATTCCCCCTGTCCATCTGCCTGTCCTTTCAATAGGACTTGTATTCTTGGATATTTAGTTCCTAGCCCTGATGCCCTTGGATCCAAGTCTCTGCCATACTCACAGCATCATATAAACTCATTTCAATCTACACGACAAGCTCATTTACCCTGTTTCATATACTGCATGCATTAAGTACAACATTCCCAGTCCTGTGTTGGCCATCAGCCTTCTTTTAGTTGTCTCATCTGCTGTGTCTGAAGTTAGATTCCTGACCCTGTCCATCATCTTCGTCCTATTACTTGTTCAGGAAACTTTAATAACCTCTGCTGAGCTCTCAGCCTTTTAAACCTTTTCCATAACTTTTCATGCAACTGAATCCAACCCCCCCACTAGCTATCCAATTGGTGAATGCTGCAGTAGTAGTTCATCAAACTGCTGTCAACAAGGTCAGCTTGTTGCTGGGTAAATTCAGACAGCTACTATCGTGGCAATGGATTCCAGCATGCTAATGGGCTTGCAGACTATTGTCACAGAAGTCACCAATCTGTTCTCAAACAGATTATTCAAATTGCTCATTCACCATGCCAGATGAATGGCAGTGGCTTCATAAACCTAAGAGAGAAAACATTTGTCTTCCTATCCATGCTATTCTGGCAGTTCACCAGCTGTTAACTGTAAGCTAGTCAATTTAGATTGTTACCATTGCAGATATTTTCTAATCAACCTCTTCAAAGATGTTATTACACACTGCTGGAGAGATGAGACTTTCATCAGAGTCTCTTAGATTAGAGATAGGGGCGGCACCATAACTTCACAAGACCATCTATTACCCACATACACTGAGACATGACAGTCTGCAACTAGGCTTTCTAGGTGCAGAGCTGCTCCAGGTGGTCCTCCAAGGGCACCCTCATCTATTCCACTGAAAGCCAGTTTTACTATTTACCAGTTTTACTGCAATTACTTGGAAGGCTGAAGTTTTCTCAGTTGACTTTTGTATTCAATATGATTTTTTATTTAGACACTTTATTTGGTGGTACTTTTTTTAATTTGCAATGAAATTTACGTAATGATGATCAATGACAAAGGGAAAGTAAGCTGCTGACTGCTGATGGTTGGCGAACTTCGGTTATGGTTACTCATGGGTTGAGTACTGCAGTTACGCTATCAGTGAATAGCCCTTGAAGACCAGTAGCTATTCTTTTGTTTGCTGTAATGGCTCAAACGTGAGTTAGGGAATAGGCAACAGTTCTTCAAGTTTACAGAGTGTTGTGACTGGAATTTTCCCCAAAAATATCAGAGGCGTGGATCAAGGTTTCAGCAAATGCATGAAAATTTGTCATTTGCTCAGCATTTCAGGATCATCACTTGGAAGCAATGATCAACACAATGTTTTATTCTGTAATTTGAGCAGTTAACAACAGAATAAATGAACAGGCAGCACACTTGATAATCTTACTGATACCGAGCACATTTAGAGACATACATCATGGAAAAGAGCAGCCCTTTCAAGGTCGCTTTTATTATCACACTGTTAATTATTTTGCAGAGTCAGTCTATTTTAAAAAGGAAAACAGGTGACATTGTTTCAGCTCTAGTAATACAGGAAACCACATCAAACAATCTGAACACACACCCACCTCAAAAATCTCCTTCCTGTTTAATTCTGCCTGATGCGGCAAGTTTCATCATCTGGTAACTAAATCCTCAAGATCAAATTAAATGTGGTAAAACATTAATGTGGATGGAATCCTTTCCTGCATGCAAAGCCATGCACTGTGGGTAGATTCGGTTCATCCTTTCTGAGAAAGGAAACCACTCTCAGTTTAAACTAGCAATAGGGAAATGGAGTAAAGAGTTAGGGATATTTTTTGGGCTGGAGGAATATTTGTAGTGGGCTTCCCCAGTGGTTGGAATTAGGATCATGACTTTTCCTCATATATAATGTTCTGGATGTTGGTGTGCAGGGCAATTTTAATGTTTATAGATGACACAAAACTTGGAAGGAATGTAAATTGTGAGAAAGATGGTATAGAACTTCTAACAGACACCAACAAGTTGGTGGAGTAGGTGGATAAAGTTCAAGAAGTGAGGGATAATAGTATAGTGCAAAGAACACAGTGAAACAATATAAAGAAAGGGCACTATTCTAAAGGGTGTGCAGGAGTAAGGAAACCTGGACTAAATGTGGTGATAAGATATGTAGAGAAAACTGTTCATAAAGCACGCAGTATTCTAGAATTCATTAATAGGGGCATCATTTACAACAGCAGAGAGGTTTTGCTAATCTATATAGGAGACTGGTTAGACCTCAGCAGGAGTATTGTTCCCTGTTCTGGATATCACACTTTTGCAAGGAAGCGAATGCACTGGAAACAGTGAAGAAGCAATTTAGTTTCAGGGATGATATGGACTACAGAAGTTGGGACCGATTTCCTTGGAGACAGATGGTCAAGAGGAGATCTGATGGAAGCTTTCAAAATCATGAGAGGTCTGGACAGCATAGATAGGAAGAACTGTTCCTACTGATAAAAGACTCAATTAGGGTTCCACGAGGGCCACTCAACTCCTCATCTCAATACAGCCTTGGTTCAAACATGGACAAAAGAGATGAACTCCACAGCAGTAGTGAGAATGACTGCCTTTGACACCAAATCTGCATTTGACCATGTTTGGGATCAAGCATTCAGCAAAACTGGAATAAATGGGAATCACAGATAAAGGAAATCTCTCTGCTGGTTGGGGTCATACCTGGCACAAAGGAAAATTGCGGTGGTTGTTCAAGGTCAGTCCTCAAGCTAAGATGACATCTCTGCAGGAGCTCCTTAGGATAAACATCATCAGCTTCTTCATCAATAACCTTCCTTCATCATAAGGCCATAAGTGTGGATGTTTACCGATAACTGCACAAATTTCAGCACCATTTGTGACTCCTCAGACACTGAAGCAGTCTACGTCCAAATACAGCAAGATCAGGCCAATATCCAGGTTCAGGCTGCAGATGTTGTGACACCTCAGAGAAGTGGAAAGTGACCTAGACACCCCATTTTGCTTCAGAGGGCGAAAACACTGCTCAGACAGGAAATTCAAATTTAGTCTGTGATCAAGGATAGGAGGGTGTGGCTGCAAGTGAGGCAGATTTGGGAACCAGGGAATTGCATCCGAGGAGCTCTGATCCCTGATCCCTGCAACTGTTTAGTAACAGATGTTCTTGCAAGCCGTGCAGATTAGAGCGAGGACCACAGGGAGGATGAGCAACACATTCATGGCACCATGACGCAGGGAGCCATTCGAGTCAGGGGAGAAAATAGGAATGCAGTAATGGTAGAACACAGTATAATCAAGAGGACAATTCTCTGCAGCCATGAGTGAGAGTCCCAAAGGCTGAGTTACCTTTCCAGAATCAGGGTTAAGAACATCTCCTTAGGGCTGGAGAAAAACTTGGAGTGGGAGGGGATGGATCCAGTTATTGTCATCCATGTTGGTGAAATAACTCTTCAGAGGCTGTCATCCCATCACAAATCACCCTTTATTTACAAATGCATAGCCTTTGACAATAGCACTGCCCTTCTCTAAGTCAGGTATATAGAGGGCCCAATATACCAGAAATTCATCATTTTATGTCAGTCAGGGCTCCCTGATTGGGGTTTGTTAATATAGTCCAATCAGAGAACTCATTCAATGAGGTCCAGCTAGCTGACTTCGTTACAATCACTTAAGTTGGTAGCAATGACATTGATAAGATGAGAAAGGAGGTCCTGCTCAAATATTTATAATAGTTAAGAGCTAAATTAAAAATAAAACAGAAACCCCTAGGTATTAATATCTGAATTATTATTTGAGCCACGGGCAAATTTGCATGGGAGAAATGAAGTCAAGAAGCAAAATGCATGGCATTTGGTGTGGGTGGAATGGCTTTTAGTTTACAGGGCACTGGCACCAGTACTAGGGTAGAAGAGAGCTGTTCAGGTGGGACAAGCTTCACGTGAATTGCATAGGGACCAATATCCTGGCAAATCAAACAAGTAGGGTCGTAGAGAGGGCTAATAAGGGGATAGGGGGGCAAATGTAGGCTTACACAGCAAAAAGATATGGAAACATTACAGGGCAGTTATTTGGAAAATGATAGCCAGGGTGAGACAGCAAGGGACAAAGTGTACAAATACAGAAAAACAGCAGTCAATAGGGTCAAGGGTCAAAGAAAAGATAAAAAGGCAGGATAACAGCTCTTTACATGAATTCATATTGTAATCTGGAATAAAATAAATGAATTAACTGCAAAAATAGAGGTTAACAGGTAAGATCTCAAAGCCATTAGACAGACATGGATACAAGGAGATCAAAGTTGGAGACTAAATATTCAGGGATATGTGACTTTTTGAGAAGGACAGGAAGGAAGAAAAGGGTGGTGGGCTGGCTTTGTTAGAATGGATCAAATAAGTAAGATAGCAAGAAAGATCTTGGATCGGAAGATGTTGAATCCCATATGGATGGTGATAAAAAAGAACAAGGGGAAATTGACACTGGTAAGAGTCATCTATAGGCCCCCTAACAGTAGCGATACGTTATGGCAGAGAATAAATCAAGAGGTAACGACAGCATATAAACAATGCAGGACATCAATCACAGATGACTTAAATCTTCATGTAGATTAGGAAAGTTTGATTGGCAGAGGTCAATTTAGGGACTGTATTCAGGACAGTTTCCAAAACAATGTACTGTAGATTAAACTTGGGATCAGGCTATTTTGTATCTGGTCATGTGTAATGAGGCAGATTTATTAGATAATCTCAGAGAAAAAGAAACCCCAGAAAACAGTGACCATAACAATGGTAAAAACAAACATTCACTTTAAGTGTGAGGTAGTCAGATTGGAAACAACCATGCTTAACCCAAATAAGGGTAATTACGCAGGGATGAGGACAGAGCTAGTTGCGTGGACTGGGGTAAAAAGTTCAGCGGCAAAGGTGCTTGAGGAACAGTGGCAGAAATCTGAGAAAATAATTTATTGATCACAACAAAGATGTCTCCCAGTGCCAAAGAGAATTCCAGGAAGGAGAAGTTGCACAGTGGTTTGCACTGCTGCCTCACAGTGCCAAGGATCTGGGTTCAATTCCAGCCTTGGGTGACTGTCCGTGTGGAGTTTGCAAGTTCTCCCTGTGTCTATGTGGGTTTCTGTTGGGTGCTCTGGTTTCCTCCCACAGTCAAAAGATGTGCAGGTCAGGTGGATTAACCATGGTAAATGCAGGGTTAGAGGAATAGGGTCGGGGATGGGGTCTGCATGGGATACTCTTCAGAGGGTTGGTGTAGACTCAATGGGCTGAATGGCCTCTTTTCCACACTGTAGGGATTCTATGGTTCCATGACTCTAGATAAGATGACTGTGGTTAACCCGGGAAGTTATACTATAATTTCAAATTGAAAGATTAAACAAACAACGTGGCGAAGATTAGTGATAAGCCACAGTTTTAATATTTAACAAAGAATAACTAAAAAAAAATAAATTTTGCACATAATATAAAAATAGACAGCAAGAGATTCCTTAAATATATTAAAAAAAAGAGGCCAAATTGAATATAGTGAATGAGACTTGGGAAATAATAATGGAGAACCAGGAAATGGGAGAGAAGTTGAACAAATAATTTGCATCATTGTTCCAAAAATACTAAATAAGTGAAGGGCAGTTGATGGAGAGGAAATAAATACGATAAACTATCACTTGAGAAAAAGTACTAGGGAAATTAATGGGACTAACGATTGATAAGCCCTTGGATCATTGAATGCATCCTAGGATATTAAAAGAAGTAATTACAAAGGTAGTGAGTACACTGATATTAACTTTGCTAGAATCCATAGATTCTGGCAAAGTGTTGGATGACTGGCAGTTTTCCAATGTAATATTTTTATTCAAAGAGGGAAGGGGACAAAGAAAGGAGATAATATATAACATCTATTATTAGGAAAATGTTAGAGTCTATTACAAAGGATATAACAGCAGAGTAATTAGAAATATATGATGCAATTAAACAGAGTCAACATGGCTTCATGAGGGGAAATCATGACTGACAAACTTACTGGAATTCTTTGAGGAACTAACAAGCAGGATAGCTAAGCAGTGGATGTAATATATTTGGACTGCTGTAAGACGTTTAATAAGGTACTCCAAGTCAGGATACTCAATAAGAGGCCATGATGTTGGGAGTAGTATATTAATATGAATAGAGCACACACTAATAAACAGGGGACAGAGTTGGGATGAGTGGGGCATCTTCAGGATGGCGACCTATAACTAGTGGAGTGTCAAAGGGATCAGCGCTGGGACCATAATTACGTATAAGATATAAATGACTTGGATGTGCACAATGAATGTGCTATAGCCAAATTTGTGGATGACCAAAATAGATGGGAAGACAAGTGGTAAGGATGATACAAGGAGTCTGCAGAGGGACAGAGATAGGTTAAGCTAATAGGCGAAACAATTGGCAGATGGAAAAATGAAAGATTATGCACTTTATGTAAAAAGAATAGAGGAGCTGAATATTATTAAATGGAGAAAGACTTCAGAAAGCTACAGCTAAGAGGGATTTGGGGGTCCTCATGAATAAATCACAAGAATTGGCAACCTAGTTCAGCAGGTCCTAAGGAAGGCAAAATAGATTGTTGAACTTTATAAAAAGAGAGAAGCTTTGCCAAAACTGTACAAAGCACTAGTTACATCACACCTGGAATACTGTAAACAGTTTTGGTTCCCTTATCCAAGGGCAATAAACAGTGGCCCAGCCTGCATGCCCACAACACATGGATGAATGCATAAAAAACTGTCGGCATAGAGTAAAAGTGATTTGTAAAAGAAGAAATTTTGAAGTGAGGAGGTGTGTGATAGAGGCAGGTTCAGTTATTAAGTTTGCAGATGACACCAAAATTGGTGGTATAGCGGACAGTGAAGAAGGTTACTAAACATTACAAAGAGATTTTGATCAATTGGGTCAATGGGCTAAGGAATGGCAGATGGCGTTTAATTTGGATAAAGGTTTGGTAATGGAAACAAAGGCAGGACTTATACAATTAAAGGTAGGGCCCTGGGTAGTGTTGTAGAACAGAGAGACTAGGGGTTCAGGTACGTAATTCTTTGAAGTTTGTGTCATGGTAGACAGGGGTTAAGGTGGCGTTTAGCATGCTTGCCTGCATCACTCAGACCTTTTGAGTACAGGAGTTGGGACATCATGTTGAGGTTGTACAGGACCTTGGTGAGGCTTCTTCTGGAGTACTGCGTGCAGTTCTGGTCACCCTGTTATAGGAAAGATATTATTAAACTGAAGAGGCTTCAGAAAAGATTTACCAGGATGTTGCCATGAATGGAGGGTTCGAGATATAAAAATAGACTGCAAAGACTGGGACTCTTTTCACTAGAGTGTAGGAGGTTGAGGGATGACCTTATTGAAGTTTATAAAATCATGAGGGGCACAGATAAGGTCGATGACAAGGGTCTTTTCCCTAGAGTGGGGAATTCAAAACTAAGGGCACATTTTTAGATGAAAGGAGAAAGATTTAAAAAGGACATGACAGGCAACTTTTTCCACACAGGGGGTGGTTTGTATGTTGAATAAACTGCTGGAAAAAGTCATGGATACAGGTACAGCTACATTTAAAAGACATTTGGACAAGTTCATGAATAAGAAAGGTTTGGAGGCATATGGGCCAAGCACAGGCAGGTTGGACTTGTTTAGTTTGGGAACATGGTCAGCGTGGACTGGTTGGACTGAAGAGTCTGTTTCCATGCTGCATGACTCTAAGGCATTGTATGATTATTTAAATGGAAACAATATACAGGGTCATGGGGGGAAAAGGAAGAGTTCTGTATGGTAACAATTCTGAGATTCTAGCAACAAGCTGATTTGTGATCACGTGGTTCAGAATTGCAGATGAAAACTGCAAGAACCTGAAGTCCAATTTGATTGTAAATGGAAGACTGTTGATGGTTGGTTAAGGGCTTGCAGAATATAGTGAAATTCATGAGATGGGGTTAAATCAATCGATTAAACATGTCTCTATAGTTTTGAGTGATTTATCCAGAACCCATATTGAAAACAAATTAGTCAGCAACAAGCTCGAAACTGGACAATCAGTTATGTTTCAAGTGAAGAGAGGAATACAACAAAATTGTGTATTGCCACCAAAATTATTTGAGAGATGGAAATTGGAAGAAAGAACATTATCAACTTATGTCACAGAGTTACTTGCAGAAGGTATGTTTGCCTAGTTAGGACAAATGATAGAAGAAGAAGATGGCAGACGTGATGCCAAGGTCACAAGGGTAAGCATAGCTAGAAGTAATTTTATGAAAATGAAGGATGTGTGAACAACAAAGAAACTCAAGTTCGTAAATAAAAAGTCATAAAACACTACATTCTATCCAATTTCCAAAATGCTTTATTTGGGCACCAAGGGCAGATTTGTGGAAGAAAATAGAGACCTATGAAATGTGAGCACCAAGATGATGCTTAAACTCCATACTGAGACCATAAAACAAACGAAGAGGTATGTGAAACGCAAAAGCAAAAAGAACTTTTCTAAAAAGTAGCATCCAGAAAAGAAGATACATTGCTATTTCGGTTGTTCAATCAGAAACATGCAGAGCGCAGAGGTAAAAAACAGGCAGAAATCAGAGACTGGCTGCTGAAAAGCTATGTTTGATGAGTGAGCATGATGCAAGAACATGACACACTAAGATAATAGGTTTTCTAGTAGAAGTACCAACAAGCAGCAGTTTTAAAAAGTCCTGATCTGCAATTTATACACTACAATTATTCCACAATAAACGTGTATCTGTATGTTCTAACCTTCAGTCCTATAATTGATGATATATTGACATATTACATTATCCATCATAGTTTTTTTTAAGAACATTGTTCAAATTCCATAAGAATTCCAAAAGAATACCTTATGAAATGGATTAGGATCTGCAGAAAACCAAGTATTAGAAATTTGCTGAATGGTAACTTTGCACTGTGTCCCTTTTGATGAAGCTGTGTTATTCTCCAGAAATGCAGCAAGTTAAATTTAGGATAAAGTGTTTAGGAAAGCCTGTTCCTCAGCAATATAAATAATGTAAGCACTGAGGTCATTATAGTGATGATTGGGACTGGCAATGAGACATACTTGAGACAGAAGAAAACAATGCCAGACCTACTGAGTTTCTCCAGCAATTTCTGTTTTGTTTCAATTTAAAACTTAATTGTCAATAGTGAGAATTGCTTACAATACCATTTATCCCTGATTGGTTGGACTACAGCACGTCAAACAAATATTCTGCCCAGTGTACTATGGATTATTCCCCTGTGATTCAATGCATTATTCAATAATCACGTACATGACTAATTGGAATCCAACTGCATTAAACAAGAAGTGCATTAGGCCTGTCATTGGATATAGGAGCTCAGTACTTATACAAGCATGTTTATTAAATTGACTTTGAAATGAAGTGTAGTTATTTGCATTCTGCGATTTGGGCAGCAATTTCTACAGGACAACTCTGTGTTAGTCAGTGGGTACAAGCTGGGTAGCACAAAAAGAGTCTCCCAAAATACTGTCAGTGTTACTCTGCTGCTTGTTTATATCAATGATTTGGATCAGACTATAGGTGGTATGGTTAGTAAGTTTGCAAATGACACCAAGATTGGTGGTACAGTGGACTGTGAAGAAGGTTACCTAAGAGTACAACCAGATCTTGATCAGATGGGCCAAGGGGCCAAGAAGTAGCAGACGGAGTTTAGTTGAGTTAAATGCGAGGTATTGCATTTTGGTAAGAAAACCAGGGCAAGACTTACAGGTAGGGCCCTGGGGAGTGTTATTGAACAGAGGGACCTCTGGATGCAGGTATATAGTTCCTTAAAAGTGGCATTGCAGATAGACAGGGTGGTGAAGAAGGTGTTCGGCAGGCTTGTCTTCAATGGTCAGAGCACTGAATGTCCTGTTGTGGTTGTACAAGATATTGGTAGGCCATGTTTAGACTGTTGCTTATAATTTTGGTTGCCCGCTAATATGGGAATGATGTTGTTAAACTAGAAAGGGTACAGAAAAAATTTACAAAGATGTTGCTGGGACTCGAGGGCATGAGTTAGAAGGAGAAGCTGGATAGGCTGGGACTTTCTTGCTTGGATCGAAGGCGGAGGGGTGACCTCATAGAGGTTTATAAAATCATGTGGGACATAAATAAGGCAAATAGCCATCTTTTTTCCAAGAGTAGGAGAGTCCAAAATTAGATAGCATAGGTTTAAGGTGAGAGGGGAAGGATTTAAAAGGGACTTGAGAAGCAACTTTTTCACATAGAGGGTGGTGCAAGTATGGAATGAGCTGCCAGAGGAAGTCGCGGAGGTGAGTACAATTCCAACACTTAAAAAACAGTCAAACAGCTACATGAAGAGAAAAGGTGTGGAGGGATATGGGCCTAATGTAGGCAAATGGGACTAGTTCAGTTTAGGATACCTGGTCAACATGGATGAGTTGGACCAAAGGAACTGTTTCTGCACCGTATGGCTCTATGTTGATGATTAGTTTGCAATTATGGTCAAGGTGACTCTTGTATTGTGTGGATGCAAGAGTCATTGTTGTTGATGTTTCGGAGGAATAAATCGTACCAAATTGACGGAAAACAACATTTGACTTCTCTGGAAATACAGTTCTCTTATAACTTTCTGTTTTTGGTTAAAGTTAAATTCAAAACAGAATGAAAGTGGTAACATGACACAAGCATGAGATGCATTTGGAAATTGAGAATTCATTTACTCATAAGCAAATATGTTTACACAGGAAATATACAGAAGCTCAAAGCACACATGATCAAGTGACAAAAGCTGTTGTACTTTGTTTCTGAGACCTGATTAAATCTCTGTGAGGAAGAAATCATCACAAATTAAGTGTGAGCACACATGGAGTGCTTCTTGAAATTTTGGAGAACATATGGATGGATTAATGCAGAGCCCAGAAATGTTATGTGCGTTTCTTAGTCTGCTGATTTCTATTCGCCTGGCGTCAATTACAAGCTGTTCCTCAACCCACTTGTTGATTAAAGAAACAAGCCTGGGTATACTTCATAACTTGCAGTGACACATATGAGGGGAGAACAGATCCAATGCAACATCCCACTTCACTTTGAAGGGAGTTTAAATGAGTCTGAATGTGGTACCAAAATTGTTGTAATAAATATAAATGCAGGGCAACTAGAGGCCCCTGAAGTGTTAGTTTTACAGTTTCAGGATTACTGTTTACTAAATAAATTGTTTAACATATTTTTAATTTTATCCACAGTCAGAAATTAATAGAAGGTACCACATTTGCTGAAAATGTGACATAAAAAGAGAATATGTGTCAGCAGCAGAGAACTGAAAAGGCAGTTTAGCATCTAGAGTATAATTCTCAGGTTCTAAGACTGATTATTATATAGCAATAACCTGATAAAGGAACTGTTTCTTTATTACAGTATTTTCCAAATATAAGAAGATTTAAGGCTTGTTAGGCCTTCAATCTAAAAAGGGTTCAAAAATGATAATGTGGAATGATTTTGATATAACAGAGCCATTAGCTTGGATCTCCACTAGAACCTGAGTATGTTTGTAGCCTCAGGTTTGCATCCTGTTCCATCTCCTATGGGTGAGACTAATGCTGGCAGGAATGTACATTTTAATAAGCATTTAGTTTGTAATAAAAACTTTTAACAGTTACAACATGCAGGACACCAGAGATCAATTATTTACTGCAAATATTTACTGCTTACTAGCAAGTCTATTTAAAATGCGCACAATATTTTTGGAACGTTTTTGAAGTGGACAATTAGCAAGCTACCAATTTTGATATACCTTGAACTCTGATACAAAATTAATTTAATTTCACAGTTAACTATATTGTAAGGTGTGCATTCAGTACCTTTTTCATTACATATTTATTCCTTTTTGCACATTTTGTACCAATCTTATGAAAAACTGTAGGTATTAAGATCAACCATTTATTTTCATGTTCTTTGCATTAGTATGTCATTGCATGCCACCTTCAAAACTGGATCCTCATTAATATTTTGAAAATGGAAATAAACCTCTACTGCAACTCGTAAGTTTTGAGGACTTACTTGTTGCTTGACAATTTTAGACTCTAACTAACTAAACATTAAAACAATAAACAAAGCTATGGGACAATTCAAAGAAAAGTAAATATAATTTTTCTTGAATAAAGTATCTTGACACCATAAGAACACACCAAGATTGAATGTGTTTTAGGGTATAGAATTAAATTTGAAAGGAACTGGCAAATCTCTACAAATTCACTGAAGACTTTCAACACAATATTTAACAATTCTAGTGTTGTGAAAGTTGTATAATGTACACACGGTATTAATGTAATTTTTAGTATTTGGATTTCAAAACATTGACATATTTTATGGTTACTTCTGAGAAGGGTTTAGTTTCAAAATCAAACAAGGTCAGAGGGTTTTTCTGGAGCAGCGATTAAATCCAGCATTTTGTCATAAAGCAGGTGACTGCAGGTTCCTGTGTGTTAATGTAAAGAAGTTTATACTTATGTACAAGCGTAGGGTAAATATTTAAGGTCATTAGACTCATTTTCAGTTCAGATAAAGTCAGAACTGAGCAAGTTTTAAAAAATAAATTCTAAAGACACCATGGCTAAGCTCAGAAGCAAGTTTAGTTTCTAGGCTAGGTGGTGGTAGTCTCCTCAGCAGAAGGGTTTAGTTTGCAAAACTTGCAAACCAGAGCGTTCGGTTAGAAATCTGGAGGTTATTAGAAATGAGAAAGTTTATGAGCTCAGATTTGTGAAAAGTGCATGCTGGCAGATTTGGAAATGACTCACTGAACTGCTTGCATAACTGTAAGGTGTCAGTTAAGTAGAAATGTAAGGAGTTGTGACAAGAGGTATGATTTCTCTGGACGTGGGTTTCTGTAATGAACTGTGTGGAAACAGGTTGAAACTTTGTTTTGCTTTGTGTTTTAAGATCATTCTAACTTGTTTCTATATTCAGGCAACTTGGTTTCTATTTTTTTGACATTTCATTTTGCAATGAGCTTCTGTTCTGTTGAAGAAAATTTTCACCCTTCTGTGCTTCTGCTTCAGCCACTAACTGCCACATCTGTCAAGTATATTTCATTCTGGTATCTGACTTGTCCAGTAATTCACCAGCTGGGATCGAAGCAACAGAAGCACCGCTTTTAGAAAATCATTTGTTCCACTAGAAGTTAGAGACAGCACTATGGAGAAGTACTGCCTGTCACTGTTTTTTGAAAATGTATTAACCTTGAGTGGTGCAACTAATGACAACCGTGGCACCTTTCCCAAGTATTAACCACAATTATGTCAGCGTTGAATTAATAAAAAGAAAATTCACAATGCTGTGAACTACATTAACCTTGGAGGAGGTTTTGCTGGTTCTTTATTCCAAAAGAAATGCAGGAGGTGAGCTGTACACAAGACTGTAAATAGGCACATTTGTACGCAGAGCAGCATTTTTTTGTGTGTTTTCAAGGGCTGTTTGTGTCAATAATCACAGCTGCCTTGTTAATAAAAATTTAACGTGGTAAATTCAATTCCAATTACAGATAGTGAAATGTATTTACATTCAAATTTAACACCAGGAGATCTTTACAAAATTATGTCAAAAAATATCTCCTTTGAAGAAAGATAATGGAGTTTTAAGAAATTCCAGCTAGTTATGCTTTACATCAAAAAAGTAACGCCAAATGGCCATTTAAATACTGTTTTGGTAAAAAGTTTAATATGGAATGATCAGGGCATAAAAATAACTGAGATCCTTCAGCAGAAATCAAGCTGTTTGGGAATCTGACAAAAATCAGGATTGTAATATAATTTCTGTTATTGAATCAGAACACGCAAGAGTTAAACCTCAACAGAAATAAAACTATAGTGAACTTAAAACCGAATCACCCTATTGAACCTACCACACCCCTCCTAGCAGCAAGAACTGCAGCTGCCCTCTGCCAACGTTTATCCATAATGCTTAGTTGACATACTTATTCACGGTTATGCAAGCATTGTTACAAGTATTAGTATAGAATCCTTGCACTATAATCCCTCAGAGAAACTTTGGAACTCCTCTAATCCTTCTGCATGGACTGCACATTATTAAGGCCTATATGTGACAGACACACATACTCATGAGTTTTTGCACCAATTCTTTTTCCAAATGTAATCATATTTTGCCTGGAGTTCATATTGACCCAGCACTACTATAATTCAACTTACTACTATATTTTAAGTATTACTTTAAAAGTGTTTGACAACAACCATATTTCCAGCTATGAGATCAAATGAAAATTCATATTTCTAGATTTGATACAACACAGAAGGGAGCATGATGCATATCTTCCTGGACAGTCATTAAGAACAAACATAAAATATTAAAATTAACAACTTTAAAAACATCTGGATTGTTTCTATTCTGACTACAATGGTTTTGTGAAGTGAACAAAGGCAGAAGTCTGCATACTCTTTCACTATAAACTGCAACGTAATTATTTAGTAGGCAATCATTTAGTAGGCAACAAAGATATGATATCTATGAAGTGCTTCGCTTCACCACTACTGATAAATTCTACATAGGTCAATCTGAATTACTGCCTGGAATTCTGCCTTGCCAAATTAAACAAATACCCTGGAAGCATGGAAATTCTCAAGTCTGAAATCAGCACTTTTCCTTCTGGGTATTTGTCCATGTCATTAAAAAGGGCATACAGTAGTATGGGATGAACATGAACCTCCAGTCCTGGGAAAGATGGACTTCATGTTAATCCTGTTCAGTTACACTCACTCCTATAATCCATAGTATTTAAGACTCAGAAAAGAGCTGGAAACATGACATTATCAACAGCGAGCTGGCCACAAGAATATAATGATTGAAACACCTTAAATTTCAAGAATTCTATTAGTTGTGGGGACAGGAGAAGGCCTCTCCATGCAAAAATATTGCTAAATGAAATGCTAGCATGTGGCACATTTCTGATCCTTTTAAGATTTTGAGCCATATATCATTTAGTGATGAGCGTTCTGCCTACTTCCAAAGTTATATATTTCAAAATATAACCTTCTGCTACACAGCAAACTTTCACCTGTAACAGAGGCAAAATAAAAAAAAAACAATAATGGTTGGAATTTCTTTATGTGGATCCAGCCATATACCACCGATTCAGAAAGCTGCTATTTCTAACCTCACTCCAAAGACCTGTGTAAAAATTCTTAAGTAGTATCCTACTGCAGTGCTGAGAGAGTGTTTTGCTCTGTTGGAGACACTGCTTTTTTGACGAGACATTAAAGCAAATCATCCCACACGAAGGAAAGCTAATGATAACTCAGCACCATTTCAACAAAATGTAGGGAGCTCTCACCAACATCGAACCCTCAACCATATCCAATACAACAGATATTATCCAGTCATTGTGGCATTGTTGTTTGTGGACACCTGATATTTGCAAATAAAATTCCTTGTTTCCTACATTACATTGACCAAGCTGGTTGAGTCCTAAAAGATATAGCTGCTTGACTGGGACCGTGGAAGATGAAGAATGAACCAACTACATGGAAAGACACACTTAACCTCAATAAAAGTGACGACTGTGGAGACAAAGTCACATCTTGACTTTGAGGACACTCTCCGTCATGTTTTGTGGTAGTACTACTATGTTAAATGGGAAAGACTAAATCGATCCAGCTAATCAGGATCGGGCATCCACGAGGTTCTGTGGCCCGTCCGTATCAGCAAGATTGTCCTGAAACACAATCTTTGGCTTCACAGCCCAGTATATTACCTACTCTTACCATCAAGCAGTCCAGAGAAAAGTTCATTAAGTTGATCCTGGATATATAGGGACTGTCTTATGAGGACAGGTCGAGTACACTGGGTCTGGACTTATCGGAATTTAGAAAAATCAGAGGCGCCCTTACTGAAACATACAAGATTCTTAGTGGACTGTGGAAAGGTTGTTTCCCCTTGTGGGACAGTCTAGAACCAGAGGCCATAATCTCAGAATAAGGGGTCACCTAATTAAGACAAAGAGGAGGATGAATTTCTTCTAAGGGTAGTGAATCTGTGGAAATCTCTGCGCAGAAAGCTATGGAAGTTTAGTTGTTAAGTATATTCAGGACTGAGATAGACTAGCTTGGGTCAAGAAGACAGCCACATTTACCTCCCATTGCCAAATACTCATTACCCATTTATTCTGTTCCATTTTAAAAAGTATTTATGTTGTTCTTTTGCAATAATGCAAGACCTTTTTTCCTTCATTCACTAAAACTTAGGTTTTGGAGTAGATCTGTAGCTCAGGTTGTGGGTGTTGAGGTTGGTTGGCTCGCTGAACTGGTTTGTTGTTTTGCAAACGTTTCGTTACCATGCTTGGTAACATCCTCAGTGCAGCCTCCGATGAAGCATCGGTGTGTTTTCCCGCCTGGTTTTTAAACTCTGGGGTCCGTTGAGATGGATTGCCTCACTTCTGGTTGTCCTTCGTAGTGGAATGTATATGGGGTCGAGTTCAACGTGTTTATTAATAGCATGCTTCATGGAGTGCCATGCTTCCAGGAATTCTAGTGCTTGTCTCTGCCTAGCCTGTCCCAGGATCTTGGTGTTGTCCCAGTCGAAGTTGTGGTTCTCCATGTCCATGTGGATTGAGATGAGTGAGTGTTGGTCGTGTCTTTTTGTAGCCAGTTGGTGTTCATGCACTCTTGTTGTCAGTTTCCTTCCTGTTTGTCCGATGTAGTCTTTCTCGCAGTCTCTGCAGGAGATCTTGTAGATGACATTGGTCCATGGCGGGGAGTGGGTCTTTGGTTCGGGTGAGCAGTTGGCGTACGGTTGATGTGGGCTTGTGTGCCACTCTGATGCCCAGCGGTCGTAGGAGTCTTGTGGTGAGTTCCGATGTGTTCCTCATGTAGGATAGTGTGATGAGTGTGTTGGGGCGTGTAGAATCTTTCTGATGCTGTTCGTGTAGGCATCGTCTGACTCTGTTCTTTGGATATCCATTATCCTTGAACACTTGGAAGAGGTATTCTTCTTCCTCTTGGTGTAGTTCTGTGTTGCTGCAGTGCGTTGTTGCCCTTTTAAATAGTGTTTGCACGCAGCTTTGTTTGTGCGTGCTGGGATGGTTACTATTCAAGTTCAGTACCTGGTCTGTGTGTGTGGCTTTTTGGTGTACTTTCATTTGCAGTTCCCCATTTGTCTTGCGCTCTACCATGACATCCAGGAATGGGAGCTGTTTGTTCTTCTCCTCCTCTCTGGTCAATCTTATTCCGGTGAGGGTGTTGTTTATAAGTTTGTGTGTCTCTTCCAACTTGATCCATTTGATGATGACAAAGGTGTCGTCTACATAGCTTATCCACAGTTCAGGTTGGATTTGCGGAAGGGCGGTCCTTTCCAGTCTTTGCATCGTTGCTTCTGCTATGAGTCCGGAGATAGGCGAACCCATGGGTGTCCCGTTGTTTTGCTCGTATGTTTGGCCGTTGAAGGTGAAGTGTGTGGTCAGGCACAGGTCCAATAGTTTGAGCATGTTGTCCTTGGAGATGGTTTCACTGGGGTCGTGTTCTTGTTCAAGTAGTGTTGTCATTGTTTCCCTTGCTAGTGGTATGTCTATTGATGTGAATAGGACAGTGACATCAAACGATATCATGGTCTCTTCATCCTCTATCTTTATGTCTTTGACGGAGTTGAGGAATTCTTGGGCTGAGTGGATAGAGTGGGGTGACTTGTTGACTAGGTGCCTGAATCTTCCTTGTAGTTCTTTGGCTAATCTGAGCGATGGAGTGCCTGGTAGGGAGATTATGAGTCTGAGGGGGACTTCTGGCTTGTGCACTTTAGGGAGGCCGTAGAATCGGGGTGTGTTGGTTCCTTTGGGTTTTATTTTTAAGAAGTCTGTTTTGTTGATCTGTCCTGTTTGTTTAAGTCTTTGTAGTGTGTAGAGGATTTTGTTGCCTAGTTGCGGTGTCGGGTCAGTCTGTACTGGCTGGTATGTGCTCTCGTCGGCGAGCAGTGCTTGTGCCTTGGAGATGTAGTCCCTTTTATTCATTATCACTGTCATGTGCCCTTTGTCTGCAGGTAGTATTGTGATGTTCTTGTCCTTCTTTAATCCGTCCAGGGCTTGTCTTTCCCGTGTGTTGAGGGTGTTGAGTTCACTCCTTCTGGTTAGTGTCGGGATTACTGTCTGTCTTATGGTTTGTTGTGTTTCTTCATTGATATTGTTGGTCTTGAGTGTGGCTTCCAGTGTAGCTAGGAATTCCGTTTTGTTGGCGTCCCTGTAGTTGTAGTTCAGCCCTCGGGTGAGAACGGCTTTTTCTGTGTCTGTCAGTTTCCTGTCAGAGAGGTTTCTTATCCATGTTTCTGTTCTGTTGTCGTTTCTCAATTCTAGCGCCATGTACAGTAATAAATTATTTTAGTCTGTTTAATTTAAATATTCACTTGCACTGAAAATATTTCCCATCCAGTTCCAGTTTATTTTTGGCAAAGGTTGGTTACATCTTGCATGATCTAGTCAGTGTTCCTACTGATCACTGAGAATGATTACCAATAACAAAAATACAGTGGATAAAGTAAATAGATCGGTAAAATTTATTTCATTTGTCAAAGGCTCTCGATGTTTACACTGACAAGCACTGATATTTCTTGCTCAATCAGTTCCCTATTTCAGTGATCACCAGCTATATAAGTTTTAGAAGGTGAAGAATGGAAAAGGAAAAACACCCACAAACATACAGATTTTTGGATGGGCTAACAACTTTTACTGTTGAGACTACTGAAGTTCAACAGAAAAATTTGAGTAAGTTATGACCAGCACTTCTGTAACGTATGGAGCTCAACGTGTAAAATCATGCAGGGTGTTGGTGTAGGTGTTATAAAGTTCTAAAACAATTCAGTTGACAGCTAAAGCCAAGATGACATACCTTGCATTCTTTATTAATTCCAGTGAATTGTCACGTTGCTCCATGGCCCATCAGCCACATACTGTAGGTGTAGGCACAAGTTACATGATTTTGCAACAGACTTACACACATTGTTTTAACTATAGATAATCAAAAACCCCATATCTTAACTCCAAGATTTTGATATTATTTGTCTGGTCTGTATACAATATAACATTTGTTCCTATGCTTATATTGAAGAGTATGATTGTCCATCAAGCTAGAACAATATTTGGTTCTCCATCAAATTATCCAAATTGACAGAAGAGAATTAGAATATTTTTATAAGCCAACACAGTCACACAATATACAGCACCTGGAAGAAGGGCATTATTAGAAAAGGTTATAACATAATACTTAGTAACTATATGTAGAACAAAACTTCTCAGTAAGAAAAGAAATGTAAAATCAGACAGCTACACTCTAAGTTAATACAAGTCCTAATGACCAGCAAGATGTTATTATTAACTGTAAAAGATATTTGAACTAAATGATCAGAAGTATCCTGCTCTCACTATTTCAGGAGAAGTCAGATGCATTTAACACAATGAGGTCATTCAATAGTTTAATTTTAACCTATTTGTGCCATAAGAAATTGCAACAGAAGTAGGTCATTTGGCCACTTGACCCTGCTTGCCATTCAAAAGAATCATGGCTGATCTGACATTCCTTACATCCACTTTCCGGCCCTTTCACTTTGATTCCCCTACTGATCAAGAATCTATCCCAGCCTTAAATATACACAAGGAATCTGCCCTAACAGCTCTCTATATAAAGCAGCTCCAAAGACTCTCAATTCTCCGTCAGAAGAAATTCTCTCATTGCAGAGCATATAGACATCCCTGATCACTCCCTTGTATCCGTCCACTTACATACCTTTCTGAACATAACTGTTTCTTTACCTGCTCTGGAAAAATCCCCCCTCAAAGTCACTTACAAAGGCCACTCAGCCTCAAATGCACATAAAAGAATATAATTAGGAGCAGGAGCGAGTCATTCAGCCCCTTGAGCCTGCTCTGCTGTTCAACAGGAATACAGCTGATCCAAATCTCTAAATTCCTGCTTACCCCCAAAAGAACTTTTCACCACTTTGCTTATTAAGGATCTACCGACCACTGCCTTAAAGATATTCAAAAAGCTCAGCTTCCGGTGATTTATAAGAAAGAAAGTGCCAAAGACTCATGACACTCTATTGGAAAACATTTCTTCTCATCTTGCCTAAATGGGTAACCCTGATTTTTTAAACAATGAATCTTAGTTTTATTATCTCCCACAACTGGTAACATCCTTTCCATAACCACCCTGTTGGGACACAATAGGATCTTATATCCTTCAATCATAGAAAATAGTAAAAGGGGAGGCCATTCTGCTCGTCGAGGTTGCTCCAGAATTTATCCAACTCAGGACCGTGTTTCCACTTTCTCCTGTATTCTTTGATCCCTTTAGCCCCAAGAACAATATCTAACTACTCCAGGAAAACATTCAGTGCTATCGCGTCAATTGCTTTCTGTGGTGGAGAACTCCACAGTCCCCACTCTGTGGATGAAGAAATTTCTCCTCATCTCAGTCCTAAATAGCGTCTTCAATATCCTTAGTCTGTGATTCCCTGGTTCTGGACTCCCTAGTCATTGGGAACCTTCTTCTTGAGATTACCTTGTCTAGTCCTGTTGAAATTTTATAGGTTTCAATGAGATTCCCCCACATTTTTCCAAACTCCAGTGAATATATTCCTAATTAAACTAGACTTTCTTCATGTCAATTCTGCCATCCCAGGAGTTAGTCTGGTAAATCTTTATTGCACCCCTTCCTAAGCTAAAACATCCTTCAGTACTCTAATGCTTCAAGTGTGGTCTCACCACAGAGCAAGACATCCCTGCTCTTGTACTTGAATCTTCTCAATATGAAGGCCAACATACCATTTGCCTTATTCATTGCCTGCTGTTTTCAGCATCTGGTATATCAGGACACCCAGGTCTTGTTGCTCCTCTCCCTTTCCCAATCTACCTTCATTCGGATAAAAATCTGCCTTCCTGTTTTTGTTACCAAAGTGGGTAACCTCACATTTATCCACATTATACTTCATATGTCCACTCACTCAACTTGTCCAAATCACACTAAAATCAAATAATCTTTGACTCCTCTAAACTCCAGTGGTTATACGCCCAGCCTGCCTTCCCTTTCATCCAAAGACAACACAACTGTTCCAAGTTTCTGAAGAAGGGTCTCAACCTGAAACGTCAGCTTTCCTGCTCCTCTGATGCTGCTTAGCCTGCTGTGTTCATCCAGCTCTAGGCCTTGTTATCTCAGATTCTCCAGCATCTGCAGTTCCTACTATCTCTGTTCCAAGTATTAGTCATTTAGACTTTCTCTGAACTGCTTCCAATGCACTTACATCCTTTCTAAAATAAGGAGAGGAATATTGACACTGCATTCCAGATGCAATGTCACCAATGCACTACATAACCGAAACATCTTCCTACTCATATATTCAATTACCTTTTCAAAGCCACAATTGAATTGGCTGCCACCACAGTCTCAAGCAAGTCGCAAGATTTCATGGTGGAAGCATAAGCATTTTATGACATGAGAGTTAAACAAAGCAAACACTAAATGATAACTTAGTTAACATTTGTACTCTAAAACTTTGAATGAATATCAGTTAAAAAACACCGATGACCAGGTAAAGTGCAGTCAATTATAAATTACATAATAAATGGGCGATATAAATAAGACAGATTTCAAGAATTGGCTCAGCAATCCACACAGTATATATGTCCTCATTCTTTGTCAGAAATTTCATCTCTTTTTCTATGGATTTAGCCCAATACCCTGCTGAAAGCAGCACACAATGATCAAGTGTTCCATGTTGCAAACCGCCTCAACTCTTAAATGGATAACTTAGATCTACTAATGTTACCTTCAAGTAACAGGAGCATGTCTGTTTTTGCCTGCTGGACCTAGTCTCTGTATTCTGTAGCTTGCCTGTACTGCACCAATGGGACCATCTTCTGAGCTCTGACTGCTTTTATATGGTTTCAGGTCCCACATCACAGAATAATGTGCACAAAACTAGAGCATGTAGGATTAAGGGGAGTTTATTGGAATTGACTGGAAACTGGTAATGGACAGAAAATAGGAGTAGGAATAAATGGGTCATTCTCAAGTTGGCACACTGTGACTAGTAGGGTACCACAAAGATCAAAATTTGGGCCTCAGCTATTCACAATCCAAATCAACAATCTGGATGAGGCAATTAAATGTAACATTTTTAAAGCTGCAAATGACAAGATCAGGTGGGAGTGAGAGGTGTCTGAAGGTTACAAAGACACTTCAAGAGCCTACTGAGATGCTAAGTGAGTTGGCAAAAATTTGGCAAACAGATTAAAATGTGGAGAAATGGGGGTCCTCCACTTTGATAGGGAAACACAGTATATCTGAATTGAGAGAGGGTGGAAAGTTTTGAGCTTCAAAGGAACTTGGGTGTCCATGTTCATGACTCATTGAAAGTTAACTTCCAGGTACTACAAGCAATTGGGAAGGAAGATGTTATGTTGGCCTTTATTACAAAAAGATTTGAGTATAGCAGTAAAGACATCTTAAAGCAATTACATAGAGCCTGGGTACAATGTGCAGTTTTGACCTCCTTACCTAAAGAAAGATGTACTTGCCATACAGTGAGTGGTTCAAATTTTCACCAAATTAATTCCTGGGATAGAGAGATTGTCTTAAAAGGAAAGTGGAACAGATGGTGAGAATGCCTTAGGCAAAAGACAAAGGGAGTTCTAGTGGTGGTTAAAAAAGCGATAGGGATGTAAAATGGGTATAAACGATAAGTATGAAAAGGAGAAAGTGGGGGGATTCATTTTCTTAACACAATTAGCACTTCTTTGTCTTTTGCTCTGGGCATCCTCACCATCTGTCCTTCTTGCTCCTTCTCCTCCTCTGCCAACAACATAAAAAAAATCACCATTTTCCAGCCCTTTTTAGTTCTGAAGAACTATATCAGACTCAAAACATTAGCCTGCTTTCTTGCTCCACAGATGCAGCCAGACCGGATGAGTTTCTCCAACATTTTCTGATTTTATTTATGTAACTACCGAAGCTGTTATTGGTAAATGAAGCTTCTCCAAAATGTTTTGCAAGGCAACCATTTGTTTTGACAATGAGGCTGTGGCGATGGTTTCCCTAACAAACTGGAGTTTAGTGCTCTGAAACACCCACAAACCCTCATCATGCAACTTGAGTCAGCAGATAACTTATAAATTAATTACAGTGCCCTTCAAAGCCTCTTTTGCAAGAATATTTTACAACGGAGAACAATATGACTTAAAATTAAATTTTAAAAAATTATTATTGGATAAGATACTGAAGGACCACTTATGTCCAACGAATTGGTATCCAGCACAAATATCTACCTCCAAAGAATGGAAAGTAAAAAGAAAATTCAAGTAAAGATAGAATAGCAAAATATATTAGGGTTAGAAAAACAAATCTGACTTTTCATTTCGCAACAGGGATCATAGTAAAGTACTGTACTTACTGTTCAATCCTTGGAGACAGGTACAGTTTAGGAAACACCTGAGTAGCTTCAGTATCCTCAAAACTGACAGAAAGGAGAGCAACATCTTCTCCTGGGTCTATTACTGTGTCCTGGGAGACAGGAAACAACAAATATTGTAATTATAGTAATTTTTAAAAAATCAAACTAGTTTTAGAATTGTTTCGCCCCAAATAGTTGGTCTTTCCCATGCTAGGAAATAAACTCTGTGCTCCCAAGTGAGCTATGAAAGATGCATGCAGTTCATTAGTAATGAGAATTTTTGCTTCAAGGAGAAACAATGTCCGCATTACACCATAGCCACAGCTGGTTACAAATGGCACTGAGATTTAAACCGAGTTCATTCTGGTGCGGCTTTGATCAGAGTCCATGGAGTTGAGTAAGTAAGCTGTTAGTGAAGATGTGAAGGAGGTATTCCTTTGCTTTTTCCTTTAAAATGATGCCACACAGTATGATTTGGTTCTGTTTCAACTACAGGGGAAGAAACTAAGAAACCAATTGCTTGGCACATGTCTAGTCAGTAATTCGGTCTATTCTATTACTAAGGCTTAAATTGTTGATATAGTACTGGAAAGGGGATGGAGATGGGGTGCAGAAGCTAGGAAATAAAGTAATTAATTAAGTTTGTTTCTTTCAATTCAGTCATGGAACATGGGCATTGCTGGCTGGCCATCATTTATTGCCCGTCTCTAGTTAACCTTGAGCTGCCTCCCTGAATCGCAGCAGTCCATGTGCTATATAGTAGGCCCACAATTCCTTCGGGAGGAAATTCCCGGATTTTAGCCTGACGACAGCAAAGGAACTTTGATATATTTCCAGGTCAAATGGTGACAGACTTGGAGCGGAACTTGCAGATGGTGGTATTCCCATATATCTGCTCCCTTTTTGCTTTTACATGGAAGTGGTCATGGGTTTAGAAGGTGCTGTCAAAGGATCTTTGGTGAATTTCTGCAGTGCATCTTGTAAATAGTACACACTGCTGCTACTCGGCATCGGTGGTAGAGACAGAGAGAGAGAACACATTTAGATATGGTGCCAGTTAAGCTGGCTGCTTTGTCCTAGATGGTTTGGAACTGAACCCAGTCAGGCAATTGGGAAGCGTTCAATCACACTCCTGACATGTACCTTGTAAATAGTGGACAGGCTTTGGAGAATCAGGAGGTGAATTAATCACTGCAGTATTCCTAGCCTCTGACCTGTTTTTGTAGCCACTGTGTTTATGTGGCAAAACCAGTCGAGTTTCTTTTCAATAGTAATGTACAGGTCGTTGATAGTGAGGGATTCAGTGATGATGAAAACACTGAATTTCAAAGGGCGGTGGTTAGATTGACTCTTATTGGAGATTGTCATTGCGTAGCATTTATGTGGCACGAATGTGACTTGCAACTTGTTAGCCCAAGTAGTTAACTAAAAAATATTAAAAAACAGTAGGGTGGGTGATGCGTCACTGCCTCAGCATGTGGGACTTTCAGGTTATCAAAGCCATCCAGGGCAAAAATGTCTGCAATAAGTGTCTGTGGCTTGGGGATCAGAGTAACTGAGTTGAAGACTGAGCTGCAGACATTGAGGGGAAAGAGTTACCTTGATATATTGTACATGGAAGTGTACACATCGCATAGAGTAAGGTTTCTGATTTGAACAGTGGTCAATGAAGAGGCATGTGGCTGCAGCTGAGGCAGGTAAAGGAATCAGGAGGAAGGACTGCAGGAGACTCAGCCTTTGTAACTGTCCAATATGTTTGAGGTTCTTTCAGCTTGTTTGGATGTAAGTGGGCTGAAGGGTTTCTGAGTAAACTGACCAACGTTGGTACAGAAAACAATTCAAGTGGGGAAACAAAAATGAATGTTGTGGTAGAATGAGATATTGATGGCATTGACAGAACTGTGAGGTGAAAAGCAAGGAGACCAGAAGGTTGCATTGCCTGTCTGGCATCAGGGTTTGGAACAAAAACAAAGTTGCTGGAAAAGCTCAGCAGGTCTGGCAGCATCTGCGGAGGAGAAAACAGAGTTAACGTTTCGGGTCTGGTGACCCTTCCTCAGAACTGACGGTGGCTGGGAAAACGTCAGTTTATATGCAGAAAATAGGGAGGTGGGTGGGGTAGGGAGTAAACAATAAGATAGAGCCCAAAGAGAGAGAAAGACAGTTGGACAGACAAAGGGGTTGCTAACGATTAGGCTGGGAGGGTGAATAGTTGTTAATGGGGACTGCTGAGCTTTTACAGCATCGACAGTTCTTTTGGTTTTTATCAGGGTTTGGAACATCGGTTTAGAGCCCGAGGGGAACTCGGGAGGGAGACTATCAGTGACCACAGTCCTAGAGGAGCACAGACTGCTCTCTCATTAGACAGAGACATGACCGGTGGTGATTTTGGTCAGAGGGTCACCAGGACTCAGGCAGGGTCAAGAAGATAGGGTCTTCGTGACGGTCTCAGCAGGTGTGGGAGCTGAATCCATGGTGTTGGTGTCACTCTGCATTGGTTTTGGTATCAACTGAGCTCACTGGTCCCCAAGAGCTATTCCCTGATTAAGAAATGAACCTGAGTTGCAGCAGTGAAAGCATCTGATCCTAACCACCAGAGAAGCTATTATTATCTGAGCTACATGCAAACTGGCACTGGAAAAATACAGCTTGAGAAACAGCTCCAAGACAGGTGTGGTAGAACTTGATTCTAGTTTGTGGGACATGAGCCTCAGTATTAGGCAAAATGAGATCTGTCCCATTAAGGGAGAAAAGAGAGGGGCTAAGGCAAGAATTTTAAACTGAAATAAGGGCAATTATGAGGGCTTAAGTGAACTGGCAAGTTCAATTAAGGGATAGGTTAGTAGAGACGCAGACGTTAAGAGGATATTTCAGGATACACAGAATAGATACATTCCAACAAGCTAAAAAAGACTCAAAGGGAAGAAGTTACCATTCTTGGTTAATGAAAAACATGAAGACAATATCAAACTTGAAGAAAAAGTATATATTGTGACATTAAACATACTCAATGACTGACCATCTATAACCTCTGAGATAGAAAATATGAAATATTCACAACCAGAGGAGTAAATAAATTTCTCCTCATGTCAGTCCTAAGTGCCTAAGTACAAGATAGGTCACAGGCCAGAAGATATGCTGCAGGGATCAGTGCTGGGGCCTCAACATCTTACAGTTTAGATAAAAATCTTGAATGAAGACGTTAAAGTATGATTGTTAACATAAACATAGGTTAGAACAGAAGTTATGAAGAGGATGTAAGGAGTCTACAAAGGGATATGAATAGGTTAAATGAACTTAGTTTCATTTTCTTTTGTTCATTCCTGCATTGTGGGCATCATTAGGAATTCAGGTATTTATTGCCCTCAAATGGTAGCGAGCTGCCTTCTTGATAGCTTTGACAGCTTGCAAGGGCATTGCCATAGGGAGGTTTAGAACCAAGGGATACAACTTCAAAAGAAGAGGAAAAACACGACTGACATCAGGAGAAATCTACTTACTTAGAGGGTTGTGAATCTTTCGAAGTGTCTGCTCCAGGGGGTTGTGGATGCTCAGTCATTGAGATGTTTAAGGCCAAAATTAAACAAGAAAATGTTGAAGAAACTTAGCAGGTCTTGCAACAACTGTAGGGTAAGGGGTTAATATTTTGAGTTGCCTGACTCTTCCTCAGAATTGCTTGAAAGTTCTAAAGGGGAGTCATACTGGACTCAAACGTCAACACTGTTTCTCTCCTCAGAGAGTCTGCCAAACCTGCTGAATTTCTCCAGCACCTCTGTTTTCATTTCAGATCTTCAGTACCTGCTGTACTTTGCTTTCATTTTAACGTTTAGAGATCGATGGATTTCTAACTCCTACTGAAGTAAAGGAATATGAGGATAGTATGCAAAAAAGACATTGAAATGGATCATCAGTCATGATTGCATAGAATGATGACGCAGATATGACAGCCTACTCCCGCTCCTATGTTTCAACGGGCAGTTAAAGATGAACAACATGGCCATAGATCTGGAGTCCTGTATAGGCCAAACTGCAAAGGAAACATTCTTTAAAAGGATATCCATGAATTAGATTTTTATTTTACAACAATCTGAGAGTTTCATGGTTTCAATGATGATAATATATTTTGTTTCAGATTTTGTTTAAAGTAGCGGGATCAGATTGAACTGGTACCTCTGGATAATCAGTACGCACCACTCCCAGAAGAAATATGGCACAAACGGATGCATTCAACACGAACATCATGGTCAGCTTTACTTTCTATCTACCTCCCTTCCTTACCAATGAAGAAAATATTACAGAACAACAACCAGAATCATCCCCTTTGCAATCCTCTCAGCAAGCACAATTTCGCTTCACCATTTTCAGACAGGAGGCAGGTGCCTGAAAGTTTAGTTATTTGCCTGTTTACGTTCAGTTTTATTTGCAATGTTCTCATTCATTGAAATGTAAGAAGGAGAGAAGTCATTCAGAGTTTGAGTACGTTCAATTATAGTTAGATCAAACTTGATCAGTACCTCAATTCCTTTTACTTACCTTTGCTCTACACTCTTTATGTAACCAAAATCTATGGAGCTTAGCCTTGAAATTTTCAATTAACCCCACGTTCTGGGATACAGCGTTCCAGGTTTCTATTTCCCTATACGAAATGGTACTTTCTGATTTCACTCCTGAATGACCTGGATTTATGTTAAGATTATGACTCACTGTTCTGGAATCCCCTACCAGATAAGGCAGTCAATTTTCATAAATCAAATCCATTAATTATTTGAGTACCACAATTAGTTCATTGCTCAGTCTTTTTTGTTCTTAGATATCCATCACCAAATCACCTGATTGATAGCTTCGACAATTAACCACGGCAGTACATCAGCAAAAAACGGTAGAGGACAATGGAGGAGCTAAATTAAGACAGAATCAGAATGGAAAATATTGCATCCCTGCCCCAGCAGTGCCTACCTCTTTTTCTAAATGCCTCAAGAGTGTTGATGGACACTGCATGCTTCCTAAGAACACCCAGGCATGAGTGTAGCCACGAATGAAAGTTTGCATTCAGTGAGCAACATGATAATGACCACATAACCCATTCTTTGGGACAATGACTGAAGGATAAATA